CGCCACATGCATACAACAACATCCGGACATTTTGCCTCAATCATCGCAAAGGTTCGCTCCTGGATGTGATGCTTGACATCAAGATCAGGCTCCTCGTAAGACCTGACAAACGGTAATCTATCCAAGACAGTAGGGCTGGGTGCGCCACAGGAGACGATTGGCCAGATTTCTATGAGAAGGGCTCGAAGTGTAGGTGATAACTCTATGACTGAGTCCGCACCTAGGTGGTACGGATGTAGTGGCTTGAATGTTGCAAGAATCCTGTGATCGATCGCGATGTCTAAACAGACCCGAGACGACGGCTCTCGAACCCCGATCGTAGCATGCTCCATTTGATGTTATAATATTTGCAAAATATTGACTTCCGCTTTTTCCTACAAGCTTCAGTTCTTTCATTTAGGACTTCGAGTTGAGGCGCATTGACCAGGTGCGAGCAGGGATAAGGGCCTAGTACCCCTCTTTTCCTCGCACAACTTCAGCAGAATTATGTGACGGTCATACTGGTGCATAGCCAAGAATAGACAACCCCGCTTCCTGTGACACAGTAATCACCTTGCATGATCAGGCTCACCTGGAGATCAGGTCAGCCTTCATAAGCGATATGATAGGCAATAAATTCGCTCTCTTGTACTAGATAAAACAGGGTCGCAATTGGCGCCTCACCTCTCATTCCGGCAACAAGCAACACATCGACGGCTACGGCACTGTGTACCACATCCAGAAAATGCACCTGTGGCAAGATTGGTCGTTGTCGCACCTGCTCCAGGTAGAACGCCGTCAAAACTCGTCGATGTTGCTCTTTGAAGGAACGCTCTTCACGCAAGCGGTGCAGATCATTCGCAGTAGCCGCTGTGTACTCTCGTTTGGTAGCATCGCTAATACTGACAATACTGATAATACCAACTGCACGCGCCAGAACAGAAGCCCAGAAGTCCGCACAGTAGTTTTTGCCAGCGCAGACTACTGCACTAACTAGCCCCACCACTTCGTGCGCGCGCGGCCTCACCAAAACTACCTCAAAAACGAGGCTGCAGAGCCACACTAAAAGGATGTTATGGTGATATATTTGGGTGTTGAGGTTAATAGGCCTTGATGTATATATAGCTATAGAAATCCAGATGGAGTTCTAATCGCGCGGCTGCGACGCGAGGTTGGAGGTGGTGATCCTACTGCACCTCCCTGAGGCTCCTCATCACCCTGAGGCCTCGCGATAGGCCTCTTTTTTCGAGTAGCCTTTGTAGGAGCCTTGAGGCTGCTCCTCTTGCCCCTTTGGGTAGTTTTAATAGCTTTTTGAAGTCGTTTTGCAGCCTTGCGAGCCGCAATCCTTGAGGCCTTTTCAATAGCCTTCTCCTCCCTCTCCTTCTGCCTCATTAGGCTTACTGCAAGCCTCGCCTGACGCCTCTGATCCTTCTCTATCGCCCTCGCCTGCTTTGCCTCCTCGCGTTGCCTTATCATATCGGCTTTTTGGAGCTGTAGTTGCTCCTGCTCCTCCTCCTGGAGTTGCAGCCGATCGCGCGCCTCCTTCACCTTCCTTGGAGACCACAATACAGCTCCACCGTGATAATCCTCGGCCTCCTGCAGAGATAGAAGCTTACCCCGTTTCCTGCGCGTCCTCTCATTGATCAGGGCCTCCCTCAGTCTCCTTATCTCCTCCTTGAGGAGACTATTTTGAGCAGAACTTGAGTGAAGGACCTGGCTGAGCCTTTTAACCTGCCTATCGCCCTGATCAGCGACTACCTGACGCAGCAGATGCTCTATCTTCCTCCAATCGGAGGCACTGAGGGCTGAGGAGTCACTGTCGCTCGTAGGATCAGNAATAGAGAAGCGCTGAAGGATTACTTCTGGGTTTAAAGGCGATATCCCTGTAGCCTTGAAGGCGTTCAGGATTGTTATTTCCTTGAAGGAAGCCTGCCAGGCTTGGTAGAAGAGGGGGAAGAAGTCCCTCTTACTCATTGAGGTGAGGCCTTGACTCCTATCCATGAAGGCAGAAACCTCGTTCGAGTACGCTGTTGACAGAGGCTTGAACATGCTGACGTCAAGAGGCTGCAGCGTGTGGGTTGAGTGAGGAGGATAGAATGCGAGGAGGATCTTATTTTAATCACAATAATTGATAAAATCCATTGTAAGGTAAGATCCATGGCCGTCAAGGATAAGTAATCGGTAGCAGGAGCGTGCCTTTGCCCTTGTACTGCGATCAAACACCTGCTGCAGCCACGCGAGGCCTATCTCATTGTTCGTCCAGCCAGAGGGTGACGAGGACACTCGGATCTGATGTGTATCTGGATCAAGAGCCTGCAGCCAGGTGTCCTGTATAGACCCTGAGNCTGACTGGTAGATCAAGGCAGGCTCGAGGTAAGATCCATCAGCGCAGATACAGACCAGCAGCGTTGTCCACTCGCGGGAGCCATCCTGTATAGTACTCCTCCTTCTTCCATCCTCGTACGAGGCCCTACTAAAGATCCTCCTTTAGCGACTCACTACACCAAGCATGAAGCCTTTCTCATCCATATTGTAGATGTGACGCGCCTCAACACCATACTGATCGATTTTATCGCGTAGAAGGCTAAAATAGAGGCTGTACTTGCTTCTCGAATCGGCTTTGTGGCGACAGTTATCCATGCCTACTGCCCACTTTGAGATAAGCTGATCAGGATAGCGCTGAACAAAGCGACTAACCCAGTGTACTCTAACCTCTGTCTTGGCGATCTGCGACGCGAAATTGCGTATCATTGACTGAGTAGGTGGTAAGCCTCTGTCTGTCAATCGATTGATATAGGCGATTAGGGCCTGCTCCTGGTGTAGGTGAAGGAGTTTTAGCTTTTGATAGCCTTCAGCGCGGGAGGCGCGGTGACCTCGGTGTCTTTGACTAAGCGTGGATCGATTGACACCAAACCTTTTTGCAATTTCAGTATATGTAAAGGGCTCTCCAGGCTCTGGAGCATTAATAGCTCCAATTGCAGCCTCGATATTAGTCATGGTGGTGGAGATATAAGGCGTTGAAGTTATGGTGGTTGCCAGGCCGCGCGTTCGTGAGGTGGTGGGGCACGGTATCAACGGTTAGCACCACACGCACGGTCTCGGCACGCGCACGCCCCACGCTGCAACACCACAATATCCACTAACTTTGACGCGTCGTATCTTTATCAATATGAATGCTATTGACAAGGCAGTTGAATATTTGGAATCGCTAGATGAAGAAGAACAATTCTCGTACCAACAAGTTGCTAATCGCTTTGGCTGCAGCTGCAGTGCGCTCAGCCGAAGATGGCGAGGCATTTCACGCCCCAGGGCCGACTATGATGCTAACCAGCGAGCTCTCCACCCACACCAAGAGGAAGAGCTTGTACGATACATCATCGTACTTACTGAGGACTCTCTGCATCCTACGAGGCATATGTGTCGCAATTTTGCATCAGAGATTGCTGGAAGAGAGCTCCATATAAGCTGGGTTGATCGCTTTCTTGAGCGGAACAAACACCGCCTCATCTATCGCCAGACCGCTGGTATCGATCGTGTACGCAGCGTAGCCGATTCCTCCATAAAGTACGACTCATATTACGATCTGCTGTATCATAAGATGGAGAAATATCACGTTGAACAACGCCTTACATACAATATGGATAAGAAGGGCTTCATGATTGGAGTAGAAGTGAAGGGCAAGAGAGCGTTTAGTAAACAGATAGTAGATGAAAAGATGTCTTCTGCACCGATTCAAGATGGCAATAGAGAGTGGATAACAACGGTGCCATGCGTCTGCGCCGATGGATCAGATATTCCGTACTGCATCATTTTCCCAGCTAAGAACGGTAACGTTCGTGAGCACTGGGTGAAGGATATCTTAGAGGATAAAGATGGAGCTTTTGTCGCATCTGCTCCTAATGGCTGGATCTCGAATACGCTAGGAGTAGCATGGCTTTCTGGTGTTTTTCAACGCTTCACCATTAAGAAATGTAGACGCTCTTACCGATTACTCATCGTAGATGGCCATGGCAGCCACGTGACGATGAAGCTCATCGAATACTGCCATAAGAATCGGATTCTCTTGGCTACCTTACCTCCTCATTCATCCCATACACTTCAGCCACTAGATGTTGGACTATATAGTCCACTTGCGAGAGCTTATTCATCAGAGCTTCAATGGCAACAACAACGATCCAGAGGACTATTAGATGTCAAGAAATCTGATTTTTTCCGGTTATTTAAAGCAGCCTGCGCCTCGATATTCACTGAGAAGAATATACTAGCTGCTTTCAAGGCCACTGGGATCTGGCCAATGGATAGATCAGCTGTGATGAAGAGATTCAAGAATCCATCTACACCTCCACTGATTGATAGAGAAGCTTCATCTCATCTTTCTACACCTGACTGGGCTCGTGTACAATAGATTTTGGAAGATGTAGTGGAAGATTCGACTAGTAAGGCATACCAGAGACTTTCAGCTCTCATTCACCGCTCCTCTACTGAAAACAAGCTTCTGCGGCATGAAGTAAAAGGTCTGATAGCTTCTCTTGCTATCAAAGATGAGCGTATAGACCACTCAAAGCCTCTGCCACTTGATACACGAAAAAAGAAAGAGAAGGTAGGTGGTGGGCTTCAGTTCTGGTCACCAAAGAAGATGAAGGAAGCACGTGCAACTCAGAAGCAACAAGAGAAGGAAAAACAACAAGAGAAAGCTAAGAAACGAGAGCTATATGAACTCAAAGCTGCAAATAAGCTTCTCAAAATACGACAGGCAGAGGAGAGGCGTGTAGAGCGAGATAGGATAAAGGAGGTAAAGATGCAGGAGGAGGTTGCAAAAGCAGCTGAAAAACAGTGCGAAAAAGAAGAGAAAGACCGCCAAAAAGCTCTCCAAATTACCCAAAAAGGTAAGCGCAAAGCTTCAAGAGCTCCAGCTCCAAAGAAGAAGCGTCAAAAAACATCTAGTGGTGGTGCAGCATTTGTAGAAGCATCAGCCCCTACATTAGCACCACCAGTGCGGACGACCTCACGTGGCCGCAACGTTCACCTTCCAGCAAAATTTAAGTAGTGCATCTTTTTCGCAAGTTATTATTTAGTAAAGCACCAGAATGTTATCTATATACAGCTATTGTAGGTGGCTCAGTAACCTCATGAGTGTGGTGGTGGTGATGTTGTTGAGCGTGCGCGTGCCGAAACCGTGCGCGTGGTGCTACGTAACTGTTGCTAGAGTTTTGCTCACGAAGATTGTGCTTCACGTTGATTGGCGTGCCGATCATCGTCTCTTCTTATTGAGTAACCAATGCTGATGCTGATCATAAGCACATTACCCATGCCAAGCTGCGCCAAGCTTCTGACGCTCATGCTGATGCTCATGCTGTTGCTGACAGCTATTGGTGTGTACGGCAACCCGCTGCGATTGGCTGTAAACCCTACCGAAGGCTCGATGGATATGCATGTGTATGTACTCATCTAAGAGGTCTAGTTACAATCGCAGCATTTACGCGATATGCAGCGGCCCTGCATTTCCATGCTTACATGGCTGCGGCGTGGTTAACGGATTGCGTAGTTAGCTCGTCCCGCATCCTACAAACTAAGTACTAGCCCATGAGCGTGAGCAGTTTACCTGTGGCTGTAACAGGGACTTACGCTAGAACTAAAACGCGGAAATCAAGGGGGCGATTCGCGCTAGGCTATAATGGGCGAGAATCCGGGTCTGATCCGCGTTGCATACGCGTGTTTTTGAATCGGGGTCCGTAATTACCTATTCAGGATGTATCAGGGGCCGAGTCACGTAGCATCATATACTAGGTACAGCCACGTCTCAAAAGTCTGTTTACCTAAGCGCACGGGCCACGATCACCACTTTTTCCCACAACTTCAAAGCCGTGCAGCTTCACCAAACCACGTCCAAAAATAATTTTGAAATAATCAAATCGAAGCTATTAATCTCAATATTTTGTTTGATACCCATGTGCACTGCAAACGGCTGCGAGGCGGCGCGGCATACTCGAGATCAGCTTGGTGATCAAAGAATCAGGTATGGCAGACCAGGCCTCTCGCAACCCATTTTCAAACTGATCCCACTCCCTTTCTGTGTCGCCTATATAGTCAAACTCGGGATGAAGCTCATGGAGTTTCTTTTTAAGTGCCCACTAGAGGTGTTCGATGGGGTTGAGATCCGGAGAATAGGGGGGCTAGTCGATCGTCTTAATATTATGATTCCTAAACTATGTTTTGGAGATTCGAGCAGTATGGATAGGTGCGTTATCCCGCATAAATATCTCGCCGCATCTCTAGCTAGGTAGTAGCCCTTCCTTAAGTGCCTCCAAGTAGCTCTATGCAGTATATCTATGTCGTTGTCGTGAATGATCTCGTTGCATGATCACGAGAGGACTCCTGCCTACTGTAACGGCGCAGGCAAGACTACTCGGATCAGTACCGGCGGTAGTGTCACTCAGAGGCATATGGGAGTGCGTGGGACATCAAACGAGCCTTGAT